AAATTATTTTTGGATATAATTTTTATAGATTAGTATTCCCTAATTCCACAATTAAAATTTGTCAGAATCAAAAAAATATTGTTTTGTTATTATCCTGTTCACAATATCGATACAGTGTAAAAAATTGATCCCTGACTTTTGACAGTTAAGTGGTCTTAGATGTTATGTATACAAAAGCAGATTGTTTTTTATAAAAAGACTAGCAGCATGGCCCGGCGTTGCCCGTGCTTGATTCAAAAATCGTACGAATCATACAGCAATCGCTATCACTTGACTTAAATTATTTTTGCCCTTCCTTGCCTTTAAAGGAGTGCCCTTTGCCGTGCTGAGGTTGCTACATGCCTTACTTCTTGCCTATCTCACACTGCGAATTTTTTCTAAGCTCTATACTAAACATTAAATCTGTTACGAAAAAAGAACTAAACAAAATGAACACAAAACGACCAGCTTTAAAAAAGGACTCGTAACTGGAAAAACCGAATGAAAAAAGAATGTTAACAACAAATACTTTTTCACACCCAACCCAGTTCTGCGGAATCAGAATCAACGTTGAGTTTAAGCAAGCGAATGAGCCAATTGGAGTAAAGTGCCACGCAGATTTAAATTTTTCCCACTTGTGACCAATGCAGCTGTCGATTATTTTTGCATGCTAATTAACATTCGTGTCAGTCAGCTGTTGGCTCTCATGCTGGCCAATAGAATCTTCCTGCCTATTTGTGGCAGCCAGCTATAGGTTCTCACTCTGGCCAGTAGAAAATGGCCACAAACTACATGAAAACTGCTGTAGAAGCATGAAAAAATCGATTATTTCCACTATTGATGGGAGTTGGGAAATGCAAAGTCAGTCTTGGCCTTCCCATTAACTTGGAGCATGTGCATGTAAATTTTGGTGCAAATCTATCAAAAATTGGGGCCGTACATTAGTTGCACACACGCACATATCCTGCCTTTTATAGATAGAGATCTCATTATTTAAGAATACATGAATATATACATTTTTAACTCAAGAAACAATAAAAATTTACAGAAATTTAAAAAAGTAAATCATTTTATTCTTCATTTAAGATGAATAATTATCATCCCCAATGTTTGTGCATATGTTTCTGAACCCCCAACTTACTTAACTGGTAGTATTAAAAAATGGCATAAAAAATGACTTAATGCCCAGCCACCAGTTGAACAGTGGTAGAGAAAAATGACTTAATGCCCATCTTTGTCAACATATTTATTACAACTATTGGTCATTGTACACTCCGGCCTTCTTCAGGTGGTTGGAATGTCGAACTGAACCCTTTATTTCTCTCACTGAAGTAGAATGTTCTAGTTCTAATAAAATGTTTTTCTGGGGTTTTTTTTAATGAATGTCAGTTATCTCCTGTTAATTCCCCTCCCCAAGTTCTCCACTGCCTTAACCAGGTATTGAACTCTTTGGGTCCTCTCACTGGATCTAACCAACACATTTATTCAAAGCGTGTTCAGTTCAATATCTGGTTATTTAATAAATCAGAACTTAAAGAGGAGAAAATCATTATGTATGAGATAACTATAACTGACATCCAAAAAAAAAAAAAAACATGGCATTTGGAACTATTTAAGTCTACCTCCAGTGAACGAAATAAAGGGTTCAGTTTGACATTCCAATCAATTGAAGAATGAAAAATCAACAACAACCAAAATTTGTAATAAATATGGCGACCAAGATGAGGACAATAGTCCAAATAATGTAAATAGTATACATAATACCTCATCTCAGAAATATAGACAGATACTGAAGGGCCGAAACGTAATTCAGGTAATTGGAATGTTGACTTGAACCCTTTATTTCGCTCACTAGGGTAGACTGTTCTAGTTCCACGTGCCATGTTTAATGGATGTCAGTTATCAGTTATCTCCCGTTAATTCCCCTCTGCAAGTTCACTACTACCTTAACCGGGAATTGAACTCGCACTTTTTGGGTCCTGTCACTGGATCTAACTAACGCCTTTATCCAGTGAATGAAATAAAGGGTTCAGTTCGATAATCCAACCACCGGAAGAAGGCTGGAGCGTACAACGGCCGAAACGTTGTAATAAATATGGCGACAAAGATGAGGATAATAGTCCGAATAATGTAAATAATGTACATAATACCTCATCTCAGAAATATATACTGATACTGAAAGGCCAAAACATTGTAATAAATATGGCGACAAAGATGAGGACAATAGTCCAAATAATGTAAATAGTGTACATGATACCTCATCTCAGAAATATAGACAGATACTCACAAAGCAAAACCTCACTTGATTAAATGGGGAAGAAAATAATGATGTGTCATCTCATCTGCAGTCGCTCTCTCACAGACATGCCATCACCTCCCTCTGTCTTTTTTATAAATACTTTCCACAGTAACTGCTCCTATGAGCTGCTTTCGCTGGTTCCCATATTTCATGAATTCAAGCGTCCTACAAGGCTGGCATCTTGCTCTCACCCTTTCACTGTTGAAACTGTTAAAGGTAGCCATCCCTTCTACTCCAATAGCTTCATGTCTTGCATTTCTTGCCTTTGGAACCCTTTCGCCATTTCCTTAGGGGCATACAATCAAGAAATTGATCCTGGGCATCACTAAGCCTCTGCATGTCATTGTGTACAAGTTCGATGGAGTGAGAAAGTTCTAGTAATGTGATTGTTAGTAAAGTACTTCCGGTTTGTGCTGGATGACTGAATTGAGGTTTTGGAAGTTTAAGTCTATCAGTAAAGACAATATCAAATAAGAGAAAGTGATATTTGGGTAAGTTGACTTATCTGTGGTCTTCATTTCTGGAGTTTCTCAGTTCCACATGCTCTTGTAGAATCTGACTTCTACATTTCATGGATCACACCTAATTTCCATAAGGATGTTATTTAACGACGTCCTGATTGAACAATAAATATTAAAATTGTATTTTATGTATCTTCATGTGCAAAGTTCTAAAATCTTGTGCAAGCTAAACACTTATAGGCTCCAAACCAAGTTTCAACAACTGACATATTCTGATTGGTCCATTAATACCAGGGCCATGTTTCCGCCTATGTGCAACCTGTTCAAACCAGAAAACTGCCAAAAATATGAAAACGTGTTCTTGAGCCTATCACATGATTAACGAGTAAATAAATATGATACACTAGCACATTTGCCAATGAACATTGTGACAGCAACGCAGTCACCAACTAAAAACTACATCATACATTCTGAGGCTAAAAGTTACCTTTAACATAATCTCAACTTCCTGAACATCCACTCACTCAGTTCATTCACACAGCAGGTTTCATTCATTCCTGCAAATGAATTAACTTCTAATTACTCAGCTTCACTAGTAAGAATCACGTTACCAAACGAATCCACTATACTCAATTATCTTTAAGTTTTAAAGTTACCTTGTTAACATAAAAAACAAACTTTCAGAATTCACTCACTTAAGTCATTCACGCAGCAGCTTTTGTTCATTCCTGCAACTGAACTAACATCTAATTACTCAACTTTGTCAGTGAGAATTGTAACTTTAAACGATTTGCTACACGAACCTATGTCACTTCATCTGAAGTTTTGAAAGTTACATAAAACAAACTTCCAGAAATTTCACTCATTCAATCCATTTAGCCAGCAGCTCATAATCGTTCATGCTAGTGAATAAACATTGCAGTTTCATTCAAAGAACTTTTCAACAACAAAATCATCTTCCGAACTTTCATGAACATTCCAACTTCAAGTCTCCTCAAGAGCAGTCAAAGGAAGATAACTTTATTCGAACTAAATTTACACAAATTTAATGTGAATTTATTAACACAAACTGTTTAATTTCCTTATCAACAGTTTATTGCTACATCCTACTTTGTGAAACTTTCATTACAAATTTTGCAACACTTAACTTCTCAGTTACCCCCCCCCAAGCATCATTCACACACATATATATAGAGAGTATGACATTAATCAAAGTAACAAACGATATGAGATTTCGATCAAAAATCTATGCTTTTTACAATATATATCATTGTAATTTTCATACAATATAAATGAAAATTGATTGTTATCCAATATAAATGCATTTGTCTTTTCTCAGTATTGTTCTATGCTTTTCTTTTAATTTTCATTGAAATATAATATAAATGTGTTGAGAATACATGTCTTTGCACATGCAGCCCAAATTTATTCTTTCAACTATAAAACCCGACATAACAAGTCCTCGACATTCTCCTTGCAAGAGGCCAGCTGAAAAGGAGGAATTCTCTAAATTTCCAGCCAGTAGAATTGTTTCATTTTTTTTCTATGGAATCATGGTAATTAGATTTTTAAAAATGTTACATGACCTCAAGATCACTACAAATTCTAGATATTTAAAATTCTGTACTTGTTTGATTTTGACATCTCCAGCTTTCATACTGGTCATTTTTCTCTTGCTGACAACCATGAATTTTGTTTTTTATTCTATTCTGATCTGATGATCCAGTGGGGAAAAGACAACTGATCTGTTTACAACTTTAACCTTCCACTCACACTTCTATGACTGAATTATCATGTCCGTATCATTTTTCATCCTTGTGGAGAAATGGTTAAATTATCACTTTTATTATTCAGTGCCTGGAAAATAAAATCTTTATAAAATGAACATAATAATGATAATAAGGTAGATAATAATAGTAATGACGGCTACAGAGATAATGACATGAAAAATGGAGAAGAAACAGACGGCTGTTTGTTGGGTCATATGACAAAGGGGTTGCATTTGATTGGCTGAGTAATTGAAATGTTGAAACAAGTTGCTATTTAGAAAATGAAAGACTGTCCACTTGTGTGGCAGTTGTTGCTCCCTAGAAGCATATTAATCACTCAAAATTGAGATTATTTACACAAAATTGCTCAGATTTGTTGGCCTTTATTATTTTTTTCTCTTTCTTTGCCCTCTTCGTCTTTCCTTCCTTTGTTTATTAATTTTTGATTGATTTTTTTCACTTTTATTCATTTTATTAATTATTTTCTGTCAGCTTTTTTTTATTTAAAAAAAAAACAATTTGTTTGTATCATTTTCTTTTCTTTTAAATCTTTTAAAATATTTTCCTTAATATTTTCTCCACTTTCTCTTATTACTATTCTTTCTTTTCTTCCTTTCAACGTTTTCTTTCTTTCTTTCTTTCTTTCTTTCTTTCTTTCTTTGACTGTTTTCTTTCTTTCTTTCTTTCTTTCTTTCTTTCTTTCACTGTTTTCTTTCTTTCTTTTCTTTCTTTCAATGTTTTCTTTCTTTCACTGTTTTCTTTCTTTCTTTTCTTTCTTTCAATGTTTTCTTTCTTTCTTTCTTTTCTTTCAACATTTTCTTTTTTTTTCTTTCTTTCTTTTTTTTTTTCTTTCTTTCTTTTTTTTTCTTTTTTTTTTTTTCTTTTTTTTTTCTTTGACTCTTTCTTTTCTTTCTTTTTTTCTTTCTTTCAACATTTTCTTTCTTTCTTTCTTTCTTTGACTCTTTTCTTTCTTTCTTTTCTTTCTTTCAACATTTTCTTTCTTTCTTTCTTTCTTTGACTGTTTTCTTTCTTTCTTTTCTTTCTTTCAACATTTTCTTTCTTTCTTTTTTTCTTTGACTATTTTCTTTCTTTCTTTTCTTCCTTTCAACGTTTTCTTTCTTTCTTTCTGTTTTTGTTTCTATCTCTTCATTTTTTATGGTTATTTTCTTGTTACTCTTCTTTTTTTCCCCTTTCAGCATTTTCACTCTCTGTTTCTTTCTTTCTTTCTTTCTTTCTTTCTTTCTTTCTTGTATTTGTATTTCTTCTTTGTTGCTTATTAAAAGATTTTTCACTCCCCTTAAATTTCTTTCTTTCTTTCTTTACTTTTTTTGTTACATTTCTTTCTTTTCTTCTATTGATTATTTTCTTTTTTTTCTTTCTTTCTTTTCTTCCTTTCATCATTTTCCACATTTCTTTCTTTTGCTGTTTCTTTATTTCTTTCTGTAACCGTTTTCTTTCTTTCTTTTCTTTGATAGTTTTCCGTATTTCTTTTTTTCTTTCTTTGGCCATTTTCTTTCTTTCTTTATTCCTTTGATCATTTTCTTTGTTTCCTTCTTTCTTTTGACATTTTCTTTCTCTGGGAGTTTTCTTTCTTTCTGTCTTTCTTTCTTTCTTTCTTTCTTTGACTGTTTTCTTTCTTTCTTTTCTTTCCTTGATAGTTTTCCGTATTTCTTTCTATTTTTCTTTTGTCATTTCTTTCTTTCTTTGATTGTTTTCTTTCTTTCTTTTGTTCTTTTCTTTTTTTGATCATTTTCTTTCTTTTCTTCTTTCTTTTCTTCTTTCTTTCTGTCTTTTTTTTATCATTTTCTTTCTTTTCTTCTTTCTTTCTGTCTTTTTTTGATCATTTTCTTTCTTTTCTTCTTTCTTTTCTTCTTTCTTTCTGTCTTTCTTTGATCATTTTCTTTCTTTTCTTCTTTCTTTCTTTTCTTCTTTTGATCATTTTCTTTCTTTTTTTCTTTCTGTCTTTCTTTGACCATTGTGATTCTCTTTTTCCTTGATTGTTTTCTTTCTTTCATTCGTTCTTTCTTCCTTTGATCATTTTCCTTCTTCTCTTCTTTCTTTCTTTTGTCTTTTGTCTCTCTTTCTTTTATTCCTTTGATCATTTTCTTTCTTTCTTTCTTTCTTTCTTTCTTTCTTTCTTTCTCTTTCTTTCTTTCTTTGTATTCATTTTAAAACTTATTTTCTTGTTACTTTTCTTTCTTTTCTTCTTTTGATCTTTCTTTTTCCTTCTTCTCTTTTTTCTCTCTCTCTCTTGTATTTACTTCTTTTCATATCTTAAAATTATTTCCTTTTTTATAATCATTGGATGAAGATGAAATGTTTTTATTATTCCATATTGGCATTAAAAAATATTAATCATATAATTTGAAATGTTCACACAAATGGAAATGTCTGTTATAGGGGAAGTTCAGTTTAGTAAATATTATTACAGTTTATAGGAAAAATAACAGTAACAGCATATTAACGTAGTAATCATGTAGTTTCAGTTCTAAGTGAGTCTTTTGATCTCTAGCAGCTTCTTCAGTTATCTCTTTTAGGAAAAGGAGTCACTAGAAAGTAACATCTCTTCTGGGGACAGAAAGTCAGTTGTGTAGAGTTGCGTAGACTAGCTGGCATTATTTTACTGTCTGACTACGACTTATTGCAGAGTCTTGTATTTGCTTGTTTTCAGGATACACAATCAAAGGTTTTTTTTTATTTACTCAAACCAAAAGTAATTAGTTGAAAATTGTCTTCTTACATCATGTGAACCTTTTTACTACTATGTCAGCAAATTTATGATGTTAGTTTTATTTTAGTATTTTACCCTCTTGAAACCCACCATTGCCATATATGTTAAATAATAGTTTAGCAGACTATTATTTTTTAGAGAAATGTATTTCTGCTCTGACTTCCCCTGTTTGACCTTTGAGGTCAGATACAGGACAAAACAAAGGAAGTCAATTTTGATTGGCTGAACTAGCGTGGGAATGATAGATAGAGAAATGTTTTTCGGGGAGTCGAGTCTAAACCATCATAAAATGTAGACATGTTCTTTTTGTGACTGTAATTTATATATATATTTATTTGTGACTGTCTCTCAGTGGAGGGAGAGATCGACCCCACTATCTACTTATGAGATGTATATGTTGACATAAATGAAATAGTTAAAGAAGTTAGAATTCCCTCAGTTGATGTCTTTTATCTCAGAACCAAAACAACTAGCGATCATTGGCTGTGAAAGAAGAATGCAACTTTATTATTATTATAGAATTGAAGCTGTCCCCCCAAGGCCAAACCCACACTATGCAACATATATACTAGCAGCATGGCCCGGCGTTGCCCATGCTTGATTCAAAAATCGTACGACTCATACAGCAATCGCTATCACTTGACTTAAAATATTGTTGCCCTTCCTTGCCTTTAAAGGAGTGTCCTTTGCCATGCTGATGTTGCTACATGCCTTACTTCTTGCCTATCTCACACTGCGAATATTTTCTAAGCTCTAAATCTGTTATGAAAAAAGAACTAAACAAAATGAACACAAAATGATCAGATTTAAAAAATGACTCGTAGCTGGAAAAACCGAATGAAAAAAGAATGTTAACAACAAATACTTTTTCACATCCAACCCAGTTCTATGGAATCAGAATCAATGTTGAGTTTAAGCATGCAAATGAGACAATTGGAGTAAAGTGCCATGCAGATTTAAATTTTTCCTACTTGTGACGAATGCAGCTATCGATTTTTTTGCATGCTAGCATGCTAATTAACATTCGTGCCAGTCAGCTGTTGGCCCTTTTGCTGGCCAATAGAATCTTCCTGCCTATTCGTGGCAGCCAGCTATAGGTTCTCACTCTGGCCAGTAGAAAATGGCCGCAAACTACATGAAAGCTGACGTAGAAGCATGAAAAAATGGATTATTTCCACTATTGATGGGAGTTGGGAAATGCAAAGTCAGTCTTGGCATTCCCGTTAACTTGGAGCATGTGCATGTAAATTTTGGTGCAAATCCGTCGAAAATTGCAGCCGTGCATTCATTACACACACACACACACACACACACACACACACACACACACACACACACACACACACATATCCTGCCTTTTATAGATATATATATATATATGTATGTATGTATTTATATGGATTAGAACATTTGCTTTCTGACCATAAGACGTGGGTTCAGATCTCACCATGGTTGATTTGTCAGGAAGTAGACTTCCTGATGTTATCGATTTGGTGAGGGCATGATCCCAGCATGTGGCACCTTTGGAAAGTTCCTGAAAACCATACTGTGAGAAACTAGAAGACTTTCCTCCTGCAAAGCGAATTTACTTGGAGTGTCAGGTCCTGTTGAAAGATCGCGGACGGACGTGCAGGGGAAAAAAATTAAAACTAAAAAAAGACTAAGAATTCAAACCAGCTTGAATTTATAAAACTGGAAGTCTTGGGCGGACGAGAAATAAGTCTCATATGCAAATTTTAGTTGCCCTCAATGCGAGCATAAATAGCGAGTCTGGGAGGAAGACGTCAGAGTGCATTGTTGGCGTGATGGCGTACGTGCGTACTAACGTGATTGAGAGAATAAGAGATCACTAGTGACAGCTCAGTTGGTAGACCAGAGGACTGGACGAAAGCAAGCACTTTAATTCATTTCAGTCATCGCAAATGACAGGCGAACTGAATTACCCACATATACCATGCCTTGTGAGTGAAATTGGGTAGACGAAAACACTTAGGGGATCAATGATAGCTGTGTTAGCACAAAGTCACAAGTCATCATGACCGAGGGTTTGAGTGTGCAGATTCTTGATCATTCCAGATAACACACTATCTAAGGTCTGCTCAGCATGGTTGCAGTATGAACCACAGGTTGGATCTGTGGGTGTTGAACAAACACAAATGAGCCTGAGCAAGAGTCTGCAATAGGGATTGGCTAGCCGTCCTAGTAGACGGGTATCCTCGAACATCAGTGGCCAGCGATTATATATATATATATATATATATATATATATATATATATATTCAAATGACAGAAAGAACAGCTTGAGTAAAATCCACTATTTGTAGCATTTACTTTTTTAAAAAGAGAGCGATGAATTAACCACGTTATTTTTTTTTATTATAAAAAAAATAATAAAAACATTTTTCGGAATTTAATCTACACAAAACTTTTCATGTTTCAATAAATTATTTTAGATTCTTCAGGTGATAGTCATTAACTTAAATTAAATGTCATCTTACTATCGCCTGAAGAAGTGGAATTATCTTAATTTGAAACATGAAATTTTTGTGTAAGAAATTTTGAAAAATTTTTTATTATAATTTTATAATAAAAATCATATATAAATGAGAGAGAGAGAAACAGAGAGAGAGAGAGAGAGAGAGTCTGAAACATACACAGACACAGACGTATATATATATATATTTTTAGTGATATTAGTAGATTTGAATAGCGAATTAAATCAGAGCATTTTGTTTACTGATGGGAAATCTGATCTAGGGCAGAAGTTGTACTCATTGAATCTGGGTCATCAGTAGACAATGGAAATGGTCGAAATAATTTTTAGCGATTAAAAATTGAAATAGAGCTGAGTAAGCTAGAAGGAACTTTGGAATTCACATGATTTTGGTTGAAGCAGACAGAACCCCCGTGATAATCGCGTGCGAAGAAGTAGGGCCGAGGGTCAGTGATAACCAGTCTGGTTTATCTATATAAACGCATAGTTATGCTGAAAAAGTCAGACGGGAGAAAATTCTTGGAGAAGAGATTATTGGCCCGGGCGAGCGTTGGGAGAAAGAACTCCACTATAACTTTAAGCCCCGCACAGAAATCTTTATCCCTCCGTCGCAAGAGTCATATATCGTTCTGAGACGATTTAACAACAAGATAATCACATACACTCTCTCTGTGTCTAGAATCCAGTGTATAAGTTTTTTTTTTTCTGCTTTTCTTTTCTGTAACCCGTTTCTCTTCTCTACTATTCTTTTCTGCTATATAAAAGACATTACCAATTCAACCATTGAATCAATCTTTGTCCGGCTTTCTGCAGATATTATTATTATTATTTTTTTGTATTCTAAATCCGTGTCTACATCTTCAGTCGACCGTGAATGGACGGACATCACTTCTGCTTTCTGAATCAAACCAAACACAACGTGGGCAGGAAGCAGGATTAAACCAGCGGACCGGTTGAATAATCTACGGATGCTCAGGGGACCTATGGCCCCTCCCTTAAATTCGGTTAGGACCGAGTAGACACCTCAACCCCGAGAGTAAGACGCCGGATGTTGAGGGGCCGAGGCGAAAGTGTTAGAGATTCCATAAAGTTCTAGAAGGCTCCAGAAAGTACTACTATACTTATATATGATTTTAGGAAATTTTTGTTAGGGGTGACATTTAAAAAAAACTGTAATAAAAGCATAATTGGTTGAGAAAGAAAAGTTTTACGTGAAATATAATTTGTTTTCAAACATTTTAGTATAAATAAAATAACTGCATGTGCGTAAAGAAGAGAGAGTGGATTTATATGCTGATAGTGAGTTAGTGAGGAGTCCGTTGAGCTTTCAGTTTGGGCCTTGGGTGTACGTTTGTCAGTGAAAGTGAGTAGACGATTGAAGACAGTTCCTTTGAAGTTACCAGTAGCCGAAACGGAATACAACTGAAAGTGAATGCATCAACTAATCTCTTTTCTTTCCAACCCCATTTATATTCCTTTTCAAGGCCTTTTCAACACTAAAATAGAATGATTCAATTGGTCCATTACTTTTCCTCTTTGTCATGTGACAGGGTTCTATACTTTGTCCGCCCAGAAAAAGGATTCCGAGAAACTGATTTTGAACTTCACACAATCCAAGACACGAGCGTTGTTTCTTTTGTGGGTATGGGTTTAACCTGCACATACCGTTCCCAAGGGCTAGGTACTTCCACAGAAACCCAGGGTAGATGAGGTCACTGTAGTGAAAAAGATAATCAGTTACCCCGAAAAAAAAAGTTCGTGTTTTGTGTGCGATCTACCGAAAAAAGATTACCAAAAAGTAGTTAGCAAAAATCTACTTCAATGACTAGAATCTATGCTAATGTTCTCCCCTCCCCTGAATGGCGTGACCAATCAGAAAAATCTCTCGATGAACCAAAGCCGTTATGTTTTGCTTATAAAGGCAGAAGATTTTCTGAGCTGGTGAGCCGAACACGCGTTTTTGCCCGTGAGAAGTGAAGGTTGGACGTGTGACCCCATTTTGTTGTTTCTACGTTGCCTGTTGGACTGTTACGTCAGACTATCGTTTGAACTGCGGTTTGGCTACAAGTGTTGCGGTAGAGGAACAGAAGAACTCTATTGCAGTTGCTACTATCAGTTGACAGTCTTTTCTTTTCTTTACTACAACAGTCACTTACAATGGTTGCACATCAACTAGGAACCTTCCGCGTGCTTTCTGAAATTTTTAAATGGTGGAAAGTCTTGTCAGCACCTGAAAAACTTTCGGATATGGGTGGTTTTCGGATTTTGGGAATTTCGAATAAAGGATACTGGACCTTGTAGAGGGCCGTGGCTGTTATGTTGTTGATAGAAGTCAGACGTAGAAGAAACGCATGTAAGGTTCAGATACTCCTGCCCGCCGAGCCCAACTACATAAAAAGGTTGGACTTTGATTAAGTCCAAAGAAGAAGGCAAAGAAAGCAAACAAAACACAAGACCGATAATATATGTATATACAAATATATATTAATAACAAGTTACAATACATGGAAACAGTACAAAGGACGAAGTGTGTGTGAATATTCTGTATATGCGTGCGTGTGTGAATATTCTGTATGTGCGTGTCTGTGTATTGTGCTTAGCGTGTTTCCACGCTATCCCTTGTTAGCGCCTACATTTCGAGGTTGATAGCTGAAAACCTGATGAAAAGGGGAGATTTACCTCAAGGTGTCGGCGCACAGGCCTGAAGGAAAAAAGAGAGATAGAGGCGAAGGGTCAGCGGCTATTTATAGCCAGGGAAGAGAGACCCCTGGTGAAAGGGTTAATGAACTGAAGGAGGAGTTAACTCCGACAACCTGTACTAAGTTCTTCAGTAATTAGAGTTGATTATAATAAATTTAGTTTAGGAAAATTAACATAGAATAGGCTATACTTGGGGTAGTTTTCCCCAATCACGTAAATTGGTAAAGTATTAACCCTAAAAACTCGAGTCATATTCTTAAATAGACTTCTTCTCAGATTCAGATTTTTATATGAAGATCATGTTGCAAGCCGGTGGGTGCAATTCCTAACTTATTGTATTATTTTAGTAACTTCGGTGTTAGATTTCAGAAATAAACGCGTTTCTCCTGAAAATACCTTTTGAAAATGGTGGAAATCAAAATGTGAGTCCACGTAAAGAAACTACAAGAAGCAATATATATGTACAAACAAATGATAATGCATTAACAAAAAAAAAATACAAAAAAAACAAAAAAAATAATGCGTGTAAAAAATAAATGTTGGAAACCGTTTAGGTCCAAAGTATGTGAAGTAAAGCGAATAAAATTTTATGTAAAATTTGTGAATGTGTGTGTGTGTTAAATATTTTTTTATTTGTATAAATAATATGTTCATCGTTTTCCTCCGCGAGAGGTTAAAAATTACGAATAAGTTTATAAGGTTTTAAAGAGATTGAAAAAATTATCGCAGCATATTTATAGCCCTGAGAGCGGCTCCTAGGAGTTCTTTCGAAAATTAGGAGGAGGTCATCCGACAATCATGCATGGAACTGTACCGACTCAGCGTAAGAAAAATAAATAAATGGCCAACCCAGAGGTCTCTTTAACATCATTACTGTAACCGGCATGTAACGAGTCCTGTGATTGGTCCATTTGGGAAGTCATATCAGTACCTGAAAAACTTTCGGATTTTGGAGGTTTTCGGATTATGGAATTTCGGATAAAGGATAATCAACCTGAAATAATCTCAAGTGGCTTCTTACATTCTCTCTCTCTCTTAACTGGCTTTTATCTCTCTCTCTCTCGCTCTCTCTCTCTCTATCTATCTATCTATCTATCTGTCTGGCTTTTATCTCTCTCTCTCTCTCTCTCGACTGGTTCCTTGCTTTCTCTCTTTCTCTCGACTGGTTTCTAGATTTCTCGTTTTCTCTCTTTCTCTTCACTGGCTTCTTGCTTTCTCCTCTTTCTCTCTCTTTCTCTCTTTCTCTCTCTCTCGACTGGTTCCTTGCTTTCTCTCTTTCTCTCGACTGGTTTCTAGATTTCTCGTTTTCTCTCTTTCTCTTCACTGGCTTCTTGCTTTCTCCTAAATCTATCTCTTTATGAATGCCGGTTCTCTGAAAAATCTCTCTCGACTGGTTCCTTGCAAAAGTCTTTCTCGACTGGTTCCAGATTTCTCGCTTTTTCTCTTTTCTGGGTCACTGGAAATCTTGCTTTATCCTCTCTCTTTTCTTCCTCTTTCATCTCTCTCCCCATCTCTGTCTGTCTTTTTCTCTACAATCTCTCACCTCTCTCTCTCTCGAAAAAGGAAAAAAAAAGGAGCTTAACGATTTCCAGATTTCTCGCTAAATTTTATTTCTAATCAATATTTCTCTATCTTCAATATAAAGCTTGCTTTCTCTCTTCTCGACTGGTTCCTACATTTCTTGAAAAATCTTTTCTTTATGGCTTCTTTCTTTAACCCTTTTCACTTTAAGTCTAAACAAAATTGAATAAATCCTTTTATCTCTCTTTCTCTCTTCTAGCTTATTTTTTTATGAGATATATTATATCAAAAAATTATATATATTAAAAAATCTTTCTCTCTCTAATTTCTGGATGACAGCTTTCTCTCTATTTTCTCTCTCTTTATTTCTCTCATTGTGCTTTGAAAGAAATCCTATTTCAGATAAATTGTGTCCTCCTTTTATATATCTTTAAATTTCGATGTTTTTTTGGCTTTAATTTCTCCTTTCTGTCTCTCTGTTTGAAAATTGCCTCCTTGCTTTCTCTCTCTCCCTCTCTCTCCCTCTCTCGACTGGCTTCTTGCCTTCTCTCTCTATCTCGACTGTATCCTTGCTTCCTCCTACTCTCACTCGATTGGCTCTTTGCTCTCTCTCTCTCACACTCTCTCAACTGGCTTCTTGCTTTCTGTCTTTGTCTTTCTGACGCAAAAAGATTTTTAACCAAAATTTTGGACGTTTAAAAAAGGATCAAAAGCATAATTTTATAGTCAAAAAATCCTCTTAATAGTACCATAAAGATTTTGACGATAAAACTTTTTAAAATTTGTGGCATTTTTTCAATCATGGTCTCCTCATTTTTTAGCGAATCTGTAGCGGTTCCTACCAAGAGTATTTATATATGAAAAATTTTTAACGAACTCTGCCATATTTCTCTTTCCGGTCCGTTACATCCATAAACCAATACAATATTTTTAAAACTAATTGCATCGTGAATATTCGATTATTATTGATAATAAATAATAACATTCTTGCCCACCATCAGTATGGCTGATGTTAGACTCCTGGAGAACAAGACACTACGCGCCTTGGCCTCAAGTTTTCAACTATCTTTAAGTGGAACGACTACATTGAATCATTAGCTGCATCTACTGCAAGGAAAGATGGATCACTGTGTCGTGCCAGAAGGTTTTTCTTGACAAAGACCATCTTGCACATTTACAAATGTACCATTCGGCCGTGCATTGAATATTGTTGCCGTATCTAGTTAGGTTCTCCTGCTATTCATCTTGAGGTTCTTGACAAAATCCAAAGAAGGATCTGCAATGTAATCGATCCTTACTTCGCATCTGGACTTCAGTCACATTCTCTCAGACGTGATGTGCTTCCTTCTGTCTTTTCTACAAATATATTCATGGCAACTACTCTGACGAGCTTTTTTCACTGGTGCCCCGATTACGTGAATTTAAGCGTGCTATTAGATTGGCATCTAGGTCCCACCCTTTTACTGTCGAAATAGTTAAATGTAACCGCCACTTCTATTCCAACAGTTTCTTTTCTCGCACATCCCGCCTGTGGAATCCCCTTTTGTTTCTTTGCTTCCCTGTAACTACATTCTTCAAAAATTTAAATGCAACGTCAATCGACATTTTCTTTTTTCTTCTTTAATCCTGTTCATCTTTTATCCTTTCCCCAGTCCACTCTATATCCTGTCTTTTCTCTCACTCTCTGTAATACCCTGCGTACTAGTGACATTCCCGCTTTGCTTGGCGTGAACTGATTAAAAAAAATGAAAAAAATAAGGAAAGAAAATAAAATAAATAACGAAAGAAAAGTAAATGAAACATATTTTTTATTCATTTTTGAGTTATGCTTTATTGAAAATATTTCCTCTTTTATCAAAATAACCAGTCCGCGATTAAACAGAAGAAAAGGGGAAGCGGGTCGTCTTACAGGAGATAAGAAATTGTCTGGGGACCAATTCAGCGCTCGAAGAAGCAGACGTGATCCTTGTTATAAATTCTAGTTACTCGAAATTCTCACTAAGAAATAAATATTGGAAATTTACAACAACAAAATGTCACAACGAAAAAAAAAAACAAAGAGCAAAAAGAAACGAACGTCTTCCGATGAAGTAGAATTGCTTCTATTTTCTCAATTTGCTTGATTTAACTTTAAGCTTTGTTTAATATACAAGCGATAGAAAAGGGAGATAATGTTGCTTGGCCTCCAATTTCACTCGAACTGATGGGAAACGGCTTGTTGAAATGGAGGCATTTTGATGCCATTTAAAGAGAAGCATTAACTTTGGAAGTGGATTTGACGGGATTCATGCTTCCTTGAACAATTCGTTTCCCGACTTTTTATTTATTCTCTGCTTTTGATGTCCGCTGGGATATTTTTGTCGCTTTTCTTTTTGCTTTTTATCACTCACAATTTTAACTTCTTCATTTCTTTCCCTAAAGTTTCTTTTGATTTTGAACGAGGTCTAATTTTTTCTGTTTTCTGGTCGACTTTTTTTTTTTTTTTTACACATTCTTTCTTGCTTGCTTGCCTGTTTGTTTTCTTTGATACTTTTTAAATACATTTCCTTATCAACTGCCTTTCTTTTTCATGCGCCTCGCTTTCTTACATCCTTTTCTCTTCCTTTCTTTATTCTTATCTTCCTGATTTTTTTCTTTCTCTTCTGCGTCATTTCTATTCTTGCTTTTCTTCTTCATTGTTTTTCTTCCTATTTTGATTCTTTTCTTTCATTTTTGCCTCTTTTCTTGAATTTTTTGTCTTCATTCGTTTTTCTTCTTTTCTTTCCCATTCTTTTCTTTCTTTTTGTTCTGCTACTTTTCTTTACTCCTTGATTTTCTTCTTCATTCATTTCTTTTTTTCTGTGTTTTTTCTTTTCTGCTTGCTTTTCTTCATTCATTTTCTTTCTTTTGTTAATTCTTTTTCTTCTGCGTTTTTTTCTTTTCTCCTTGCTTTTTTCCTTCATTCTTTTCTTTATTTTCTTTTTTCTTTCTGAATTTCTTTCTTTTTCTTTTGCGTCTTTTCTTTTCTCCTTGCTTTTCTTCTTCATTCTTTTCTTTATTTTCTTTTTTCTTTTTGATTTTCTTTCTTTTTCTTTTGCCTCTTTTCTTTTCTTCTTGCCTTTCTTCTTCATTCTTTTCTTTTTTCTTTCTGAATTTCTTTCTTTTTCTTTTGCCTCTTTTTTTTTCTCCTTGCTTTTCTTCTTCATTCTATTGTCTTATTTCTGATTTTGTTTTTCTTTAGCGTCTTTTCTCCTTCATTTTTCCGGCTTTTGTTCCTTTCATTGTCAATTTTCTTTCTTTCTTTTTGTTCGTCTTTTTCCTTTCCTCTTTCTTTTCTTTCGTTTTCCTTCTTTCTTTTTTTTACTATTTTTTTCTTTTTGTACGTTTATTTCTACATTGTCTTTCTTTTTCTTGCACTTCATTTTCTTATTGATTTTCTTTTTGTTACTTCTTTTTTAAATTTTCTTTTCACGCATCTTTTCTTTTCTCCTTCCCTTTTTCCTTCTCTTTTTCGTTTTTAAATCCTTATTTCATAATCAAGAGTATTTTCTTTATTATTTCCCCCCTTACTCTAAATTATTTTTTCATTTCTTTTCCTTTTCTTACGGATCTGCTCCTAGTTGAGCTAAAAGCAGTGGCAAAAAAAGCAAAAACGAATTCATATATAAACGACGGGACGCCATTATTTGTAGACGTGAAAGGAAAACAATTCTACATTGATGAAATTTTTGTGATTAATTCAGTGCATGTCATTATTCTCACTTTATTTCCAGGTCATAGTTTCTGTTTTGAAAAGGTTTATCTGAAGTCTTTTTGGGGATTATTTTGTAAATGCTGGTTGTGTTGAAAAGATTAACGTGGCTGCGTGTTGAAGAACATTTAACATTTATACATTTTTTAAAATCAAGGAAAAACAATGGAAAACCGATTTGTGTTTCAACGATAAAATATATATTAAAATCAACAAATACAAAGCAATTTTTGTAATGTGTGAATAATAAGGAGGAAAAAAGTAGTTTCCCTTTATCTGTTAGTTGAATAAGGTAAAATGTAATAAAGCAAGTTTTCTGAATAGAATATTCAAAGTTCTGTATTGAAATAGAATGTGTATTCAGAAGAACATACAGTAAGTTCAGTTGTGTGTCTTGTATAATTAACAGAGCTGTTGCAACTTGGCTTGTTCACAAAGAACTGATGGTGAATGATATTCAAGTTCTGTGTCTGTGTGTACGCGTGCAGAGTGAGTAGAATGAATAGTCTTTGTAGACGCGTGTGAGTTGTTGAGTTCTACTGTCTTCAACTGTCTTCAACTCTACTGTCCAATTTGGGAACGAATCCGGGCTTATATTATTATTACAAGTAGGCTCCAAAACGAACGCCGGATAAATTTTGAAAGAACACGAAAAATATCTGATTGGATGAAAAATTAACCAATCATATATTTTATAACAAAAGCATGTTTGTGATTAACGGTAGGAAAAAAAAAATGTGGTGAATGCGATCTGAAATTGTCCTGTGATATTTAGTATTTATTATTTAACCAATCACAGTTGAGAAAAATGTAGGCGTGGCAAAACATAGTAGTAATCACTACAATTTTTTAGTCATTTCACTCTAAGCAAGCCGATAAAAACCAAGGTTTAATGAGAGTTACGGCGCTGGAAAAACTACACTGTGCATAAACTATTTAGTATAACTGATCCATACACTGAAGTGATATGTAAGTTTCACTTGAGCAGCTTCTTTCTGCGACTCGTTGCTCTGTGGAACCGACTCCCAAGATGGTGTTTTCCTGATCACTACAATTTTGGGCTGTTCAAGTCTATATTTAACCGTTTTCTTCCCCATCTATCTTCATAAATTGTACCTCTGTAGTCCTCTACCTCGAGTGGCCCCCGGTCCTTGTACATGGTGAACGTCACTGTAAAAAAAAAAAAGTATTTGAAGTCTTTGGAATTTATGAATTTGTTGTGGAGTGATTTCGCAGTGGAGGCTTGTATTTGTACTAAATCGGTCCTAAAATAGGTTCGACGTACAAAAGGTTAGGAACTTGGTATTACGCAGAGTAATCTTGTGGTGGCCGCTGATACTTTCGTATTCGACTAACTGTCGTCCGACATCGACTCACTGACTGTCTGACTGCCTCGTTACTCTTACTACTCCTACTTATTATAGGTGGGAGAGTCTATTAACTATAGAATAGGTGTGTTCCACCATAACAGAATTCCACATTGATGAAATTTGTGTGATGGATTCAAGTTATATGCAATCGCTACTCTCATTTCAGTTCCAGGTAATAGTTTCTGGAAAGGTTTATCTGAAGTCCATTTTTAGGTTCATTTTTTAAAAAAATCATTTCACCCCAATCAAGGCGATAAAAGCCAAAGGTTACTGAAAGTGAAAGAAACAGAAAGGACAATAAAAGAACAGGAATTTAGAAGACAGATGACAATCGACATTATATTTAATTTTTTGAAGATCTTAGTTGACAAGAAAACAAGAAGGCGGAAGAGACTTCCACAAGCAAGAAATATAAAACTTAAGGTTCGCAGTTATAGCAGTGAAATTATGAGACCTAACAGCCAATCTAGTACTCGTTTGTGTTCGTGAAGTCGATATATAAAAAAGAGAAGCCCATCAGACGAATTACCGTGAGAACATTTATAGAAGTCGATGGGAACTACTTTATAGCGGTGGGGAATTGACAGAAGCCGAAATGC